GCACTGCAAGACGCACGAGTTGCTTTTGTCTTGGAGACGAGGTGTGGATGTTTCTAATAATTGCTATTATTCTTTCCGTGTCATGCAATATTAATGAAAATAGGTTACAGAGAGTGAATCCATTTATTGGTTGCTGTGGATTGAATAATCTGGGTTCTTAATGGAAAAGTCTCTCCCTTCCTGACTTGGTATTAAATCTGAAAGATATTTAGATAATTTGTTTCTAAGAATTTATAATCAACATGAAAAATGTTCCATTTATGTATTACGGTCTTCAAATGTTTCTAGTGGACCGACTCACGCTGCCGCTTCCCCTACATCACTATGATGTGCAGGGATTCACTTTAGGCAGTAGATTCTTAAATGCACTTAGTTGTTTGAAATCTCTTTTGAAGTTACATTCAAGGCTATCTGAATTTATTTTTATTAATAGATCCTTTGATACTTTGAAATGGTTTATAGTACAATGTATTACTAATTGCAGTGCTTTATACATTTTAATCTATATGCTTTATAAACTATACTTTAAGCATGGTGTCTGTATTGAAAATGAAATAAACATAAGGATTATACAATTCGGCTGTGCTCCCAATTAACATAAATACCTAAAAGCATTCGTGAGCCTTAAAATGTCCAAATATTAATGAATAGCTGTTGAAGGGGTAGTACATTAGCAAAATCACATTTTCTCTCTTTTCTTATGAATCTCGAGAAGTACTGTTAGAAATCTCTAGGCATCAATAAATCTTGAACGTTTAACAGAGATGAATTAATATACAGTCCACAGCTACCAATTGCTATCAACAGTATTCTTCAAAGAGATATCAAATTTTAACTGTAAATTGAGTTTCGTTTGAGTGATTTATGTTTCTGTGTAGCAAGCAAAAGCATTCTTTAATCAGCTGATCAAGGGCCTTTCACATATGCGCTATGTATATATTTACCACCGGAAGCTATAAAAAACTAAATTTCATTTCTCGCTGAAAATGTAGAGTTCGTTAGATTCCATTATACGTTTCTAGTGCAATTTCTGCTGGAAATATTTAATTCCTTCTCATTATTTAAATCGTCAAAATATCTTAAGTCGAGCTATCATATATCGATGATCCATATGAATGGTTATTTGAATATACGCAAAGCACATAAGAGCGGTTTGCCTAAGAGTAGGGATACCTACGTGGAAGACTTTCTGAGAGAAACTGGCTCGTATTCCCATTTCATATGGAGAAAAACACGTATGCAGTCAGTTCGTTCTCTCGAGTTTGAAGCGGGTCGAACTTGTCTGTATGCAGCAGTTTTAACCATTCGGCCACTACTACAGCCAACCCATTTGGATGCTATATCGAGATATTTTAATATGACTAATAAATAACTACTAGAATAAAGTTAAGAAAATTACAATAATTTGGCGAATAATACTCAAAATTGTTTATCAGGAGCAAAAACCATTCGTATGCTAATTCATATTAAGTGTATCTCAAAATAAATTTATAATATTTCTGCATATTAGTCTCTTGCAGCAGTAGAAATATATATTTTTCAAACGGGGTTCAGTTAATATGTATAAACATATGTTTTTTATTTCATTGCTTAATAATATGTAAATATCTGAGAAGGCCAAGTTCATTTATTTACTATAAAAATATGCTAACTTTAAAATATGATTTTAAAATACTTCGCAAACAATATTTTCAATCCATTAAAATGTGTATTCCATTATCATACGAAATTGTTGCTGTTGCTAAATATGAAAGTTGTACTACTTTGCAATTTCATGACTCCGTCATAAATTATTTTTTAAAAAAAATTGTTTCTTTATTGCATTAGTTTAAATGAATTGTTAATAATTGGAATATTTTACATACAATAAAATTCTGATATCACAAAATTTTATTGTAAATAAAATGTTCTACCTCTTATAGCCGAGTTTTTGGTGATGAATTCTCGATAAAGTGACGAGTTTACTCTATAAGCCGTCAATATTTATCTCTTATCATTGATAAATTATCAAAAGAAAAAGTTTATCATAAATTATCATAAATTTTCTAAAACAAGTAACAAAAAAAGAATCTGAAAAATGTTTGTATTTTCATTAAAACTCGCTTCATTTTGTTATTATACGATGAGTGGAAATTCGTTTTTATCACTATAATGTCTTTCGAGTTTCATTGCCTTAAGTTAAAGGAAAGTAAATTATATCGCTATCTTATGGATATTTTATATTCTTTTTAAATACGAGTATTAAAAAGAATTTGCTTGCAGTAAGTGTTCAGATTGTTGTTGCAAATATGCAACTTTTCCTCAAATGAAAAGAAATATTTTAACGGGTTCTTAAAGTTCTGAAGAGAAATAAGATAGATGTGTAAAGTTCCATATCGTTTATCAGCTTCGATTCAAAAAGTCTCTTTTCGGTGCCTAGATTCCTTATCAATCATTAATTTTTTATGCGATGAAATAGAAAAAACGGAAAAGCGTTTTTCCTTCTGAGCGTTTACGAAGTACTTCATAAAAAATTTCTTAATCTAGTAAATAACTCAATAACTGCATTCTCGTCTTCCAAAGAAAGTACTGCTAGAGAAACTCCCTGGGGGAAAATATTTAATCGAAATTCAATTACGTCCATCTTCTAGTTTGTTGACAATCCATTAAGATTTTCTTTTGAGTCGTGAAATTTGCTCTTGCCGTCAACTGACTTTTATTTCCATTGCTTGTTTTGTTGCGTATTGTATCAACACTAATGTCTTTTCCTGCTTTTCTATTTCGGCTTTCAAAGAAAAGGGCAATGTTTTCCAGTACATGAGTTGGAGTTTCAAAACATTTTATAAGCAAATAATGTTTATGTATTAAGTGTTTATAGGAAGACGAATTGAAAAGTAAGATTAATATTTCTTCGTACATCAAATATGCATAAACAGCATTGAACATATTTAATAATTTTTTAGCTTAAACCCTTTACCGGTGCAGTATCGAAGTGTTCAGCTTTATCAAGAATCTGAAAACGTGAATCATCCAATCCGCGTCGTCGTATGAGTTTCAAAATAACCCCCTTCCCCAATTATGTCATAATAATCTTGTTATTTCTGTCAAAAGACTTCCAACCATCTTTCACTCTAAATTCCTGAAGCCTTCCTGAAATTCGTAGGTATTCGAACTGTCTTCGATAGTACTGTCTCTAGCCCTGGCATATCCGATATGATATAGCTTTATTACCATATGTAACACTTATAGTCTCGCCTTTTTTATAAACATCAATTTGAGACGGAAGAAGGTTTTTTCCTCTACGTCAATCTGTAGCGATATCTGCCATGAGACTTCTGGCAGCCCAATAAAATTTAGCCGTGGTAAAACTGTCAAAATTAAAAGTCATAAAAGGTAGTGCAATGCAAGTTGTCAAATGAAGAAAGTCCATGGTTTCACCCATGGACCACTCTGGAAGAAGTAACCGGATTATTGCTATGTCGTGGACATTATAACAGAGACGTCCTAAAGGTGTAAAGGACCTTTTTATTAAAACTCAATAGATTAACAGAAGCTGCGTCTAGTGCTTACAAAACCAGCCAGCGTTTATGATATAACTCAAAAATAATGAATTCAAAATTAAAACTAAACTAAGTCGAAAATTAGCCAAAGGCTACACAGAAAGAATACACCCTAGTGGTTTAAGTCTTCTACCGGCATGACAAGCTTAATAGCGAGAATAACTCAGCGCCACCGACAGACTGCTATCTAAAGAGATTAAACTAACAGCGTGCCCTTCATCAGGCAGAACCCGCACTAAATCAACAATTTAAAAACTTTCCTTTAAATACTATATATTTATATCTCATTTGAATACGCGCGGACTAAAATTTACATTCTGGCAGGAAAACGGAAAAGGAGAATGACAGAAAAGCTGTTTAATATAAAATAACTGGTTAATAAAAATAAATGAATCCTTAACGCACTTATTCATCGACTTGTTTCTGTCGCACTTGCACTCTGTCAAAATATAGCGTCTGTGGTATTTCCCTCCCTTATTTATTTTGAGTAACGTGAAGCGTTCGTATTGAAACCTTCCTACTAGACAGGACGCTGAGCCATCATGTACTGCACTGTTGTTTCCAAAACTGTTTTATTTGCATATTTCCATAAAAACATAGGCTGTTATTAATTTACTAACACGTTTGTATAGCTTTTTTTCTTTACATTTACTATGATACCGAAGAATACTTTTGATTGTTTTACATTAATTTACATATTTATTTACAATTTGTTATTTTATATCTAAAAAACAATATATTGGCTTAGTTTTAATTTAGTTGAAATAATTTATGGATTTTGTTTTATTAAATTAAAAAAAATATTACTCCTTTTAATATATTATAGAAAAAATAATAATAAGTTATATATTTAGTTTAAAAGCTATTGCAATTTTTTTCCTTCTCATCTGAAATATGTGTGGGATATTTGTTCAGGCGAAAAGAATTATCATTTCATCGAATTTGTCCAAAAATGCGTATATTTTATTTTAAAGAAACAAACATACGAGTATATATATTTAACTCTACAATCTCTTCTAAACCTAAGAGTAAAACACATAAACGAAAAATAAAATTCGCCCACTTGGCATGATAATAAGTATAGGCTTGACTTATTTTAAAAAAAATCAATTTTCTGAATTTTCTAGTTATATGAATAAACTGCAATTTCGATTGCCTTGATAACCGTAGTTCTGTACTGTACATTTAATTTATAATATGTCCAACTAATAAATTTTTATAAACATTTAACCACATTACTGTAATTAATAATAGATATTTCTATCTGCACATGTTGTTACTTTGTGCAGAGCGTTAGTTTTTTTATTTAATGCCAAAATTTAGCGATATCATGAAGTGATGAAATAAATCTGTTTTCTCAATTCTGTTACTGGTGGTTTTGATTTGTTTTTTATATTAATGTAATTTTTCTCACAATGGTATCGTAATCATATTTTCTGAGCTCGATATACTTTGTTGCAGGTCCTCCTTCCAGGTCTAACCTCAATCTGAATTTGAATCTGAATTCTGACTCGCCCAGAAAAGCGCGACAAAATTTAACACTTAATTTCGGTTGTGCTGCACTGAGTGCCGTTGGAGAGAAAGTGGATGCCGAGCTGACACTAGAAAAACAAGGGTAAGCTCTTCTGTTGACAATTATGATGCTTATTATTGCATGAAATGAATATCTTCAAAATTAGTTTTGTTATTTGGCTTTAATTATCATACTGACGAAAGTAAAAAATAATCACAATAAGCCGAATTCTCATTTGTGAACATATTTTACAAGGAAAAAAAATGTGAGATGTTTCTTATCCTTATAAGTCTTACATTAGAGTATTACATATACGTGATGGTATGGCGTAAATGTGTTTGATCAACACGTGTCTTTCGACCGTGTGTTTGATAAGGTGTTTTATAAGCAGTATAAATAAATGATCTAAATAACATACTTACTGGCAAAATATATACATATGTGTTCTTAAGTTAAAAAGATTCAATTTAGAAATTATGTTGACCTTAAAATAGATGATTGCTTTCAATTTACGGAGAAAAATATCATTCAGCTAAATCTTCTATTGTGTAATTCTCACATCGTATGATGATAGGTTATTCTAATTTTTTTCTGGCCCACACTTAAATATAAAGTGTGACATCTAAGCTCTTACTACACTTTATTTGCTTTGTCACGGTTGGCTGAGTTGCTATTGCCATTCATCGCACGTCAAAATGTTAATCGCGGAAATAAACACCAAAGCAAGCGAAACTAAATCAGTATGCATCTTGAAAATTCAGACATAAATAGACGGACATAAAAATTACAGCTTCAAGCGTCAGCTGCATCTAAAAGGAATTTAAAACAAGACGTCATCAAAGTCAATAGAAACTCAGTTTAATTATAATGCCTTTGGAACTTATCGGAGTATTGCCACCTTAACTGCTTTATCTGTTGCGTTTTAATAATTTACGTGTCATATTGCCCGGTTTCTAAAACCACTCACAGGATGCGTAAGGCTATTTACAGTAATGAATGAATTAGACTGATATATACACAGAAATTAAGATTACAGCGTCATGGAGCAGGAACATCCAGAAGAAGCAAGATGTCAACGTTTAAAGCACACGTTAATGTCTTCGAAACTTATCAGAGTACTGCTACCTACACTATCATCTATTGCGTTGTAATAACTACTAGTAAAGTATAAATTTACTAACACTTTACATGTTATATAAGGTCCATATCACACGTGCATTTATTCACACGAACAACTGTTTCCGACAGCTTTTCTACCTGGTTTGCTATTGAAAGAAATACTCGCGATTTTTTCCTTCCTTTCGAAAAAAATTACAAGTTGTTCGTTTTCAACCAATCAGCTATCAGCTTGTTTGTAATGGAGAACCAGCTTTCCCTGTGTTAACCCCAAAGCTTTCCCTGTGTTAACCCCAAAATGATCTGTGGTGATTGTCTGTTGTGACAAAGCAGAAAAATTGTTCCAAACAGTTGCTCTTCCGAAACAAACGGATATGTGATAGCAGGACAGGACAGGAACAAGTACAGAGGGCACCACGCCATCGCCATTGACAAAAATGGGATAGCCCCCATGCACTACCTCTCTAGCGTACCGCCCCTTCCACAGGGGACCTGATTACGGTATACATAGGACATAGTACTAACAACAAATAAGACATAGCACATCATACTGTTACAACATACTTCGACACATAGGACATAGCATTAACATATTGTTACAGATTATTTACAGTGCAAGAAGTTATGTTCATTATAGAGCTTGTTGGTTTTGGCACCGCCCCTTCCACAGGGGACCTGATTACAGTAAACATAGGACATAGCACTAACAACGTATAGGACATAGCGCAACATACTGTTACAACATACTTCAACACATAGGACATAGCATTATCATACTATTACAGATTATTTGCAATGCAAGAAGTTATGTTCATAGGACATAGCATTATCATACTATTACAGATTATTTACAATGCAAGAGGTTATGTTCATTATAGAGCTTGTTGGTTTTGGCATAGCATATGCTTTATGATACCCAGGGTGTTATATTTGAGTTATGTATTGAATGTTGTACAACCTTACGCACTCGATTGCTAAAATTACTCACAAGTGGAGGGCTTTTTAGAGGAATGAATCACAAAGAAAATAGGACAATCAGTGGCCGTGCTGTCACTGGTAGCTCGAACTATGTTAAAATCTTCGCGAACCGTGTAATTGTATAGGAATTTTCGTGGTCTTACCATGTATACTGTGATTATGGGGCAGTTTTCTTTAAAACATTTTCCTTGAATGTTTAGAGTCTCACCTTTTCTGAAAGCAGGAATTAGCATGAGACTCTGGAAGACGTCAGTGAGTTATCGCTAAGTCTTGGAAATTACAACAGAGACGTACTAAAGGTGTCCTTTTATTAAACTCAGTAGATTAATCGAAGGCACGTCTTGTGCTCACAAAACCACCAGCATTTATGGCGTAACTCAAACGTAACGAATTTGATAAGTCATAGTTGGAATTTAAATTAAATTAAGATAAGTCATAGTTAGCCAAAGGCTACACAGAGTGAATGCGCGCAAGTTGGCCTATCCTAATACCGGTGTGATAAGCCGAATGGCGACAATAACACAGCGCCGCTGACAGACAGCTGTGTGAGTCTCAGCTAGTAGTAGCGTGGCCTTTAGCAACACGCTCTGATTCAATAATCTAAAATCTTCCTTTAAATAATATCTCTTTCTCCCTCATCTGAAATTTGTTTCTGTCAGCAAAACGGAAAGCAAGAATGACAGAAAAGCAACTGATTATAAATGCATCCTTTCCGTAGAGCAGGTATTCCAGCCCTCCTGTACTTTCCCAAAATCCAAATTATCCATTAGAATATAATGCAATGAAACTGTATCTAGATTTCTATAAAAATTACTGTTAAAGCATTTGTTTAATGTAGGTGTTTATGAAGATGCTATCTAGCGTTTGCATCCATTTGTTCATTTTTCTTAGTTTTATTTATTTACTGATATCTATTTACTTTTTTTTTTAACTCTTATGTCTCAAAAAAAAAAAAAAAAAAAAAAAAAAAAAGCAAGCCTTTCCTGAAGCATTCCTTTTTTTTGCATTTTTACAAAGATTAAAACTTTTTTTTTTTTTATTTTAATCTTTGGCCTCCTACTTATTCTTTTTTCGGTAATTTTTTTCATATTTATAGCTATGTATTTTTTGCAGTTTCATTCGATATCTGTTCGTTTATGATAGAAGTTCGTAATTAATTTAATGAACGTAAGTTTATTAAATTAATAACGAATAAGGAAGGAGAGGATCATGATGAGTAGGAAGGAAAAAATTCTTTCCTCTTCTTTAAAGCATTAGTCTTTAGCATTAGTGGAAATGATCAGACTATAGCGTACAAATAAATAGCTTCATAATTTTCTCTCTCGCGCTAACTCTGAAATAAATTCACAGTTCACAGGTAATTTGGCTTTAAAATTTTTTAGGCTCATTATGTAGCGTTAGAATTATTTTTTTCTGTAATATCCTCATTCCTTACATTTTTTATTTCGTTATTCATTTCCTTTCTGTTCTGACATATTGACGATTAACGAACGAAAATCTAACTAATCTTTCTTTTTTCTTCTTGCTGTTCTTTAATTTTTTTTTCTTTTCTTAATATTAAGACTTAAGCTTATTTGCTAATGTAATGAACCTTTTGACAAATGACAGTAATTTCAAGCTTGAGGGAGTAGAGTAATTTTAATTCCTAATTTTTTTTACCACAACTATGCAGTTAGATGTTGACTCACATCTGCTACAGTAATAAAATAAAATTTTAAGAATTATTTTAATTGAGAAAAATGTCTGGAATCTCATTCTTCATATTCCATCTTAAGACTTAAGACTTCAAATTCCAGCTTAAAAGCCAGGATAAAACTCTGTTCATTTACAGTAAAACGTATGTGTTTAGCAAAAAATTCAAAATTTCAAAAACTGAAATATCAGTTAAATTATTTTAAAACTTGATTTTTTTTCTGTAATAGAGAAACCAATATTCCATACACATATATATGCCTTGGCCTTTAAGGGGCCATCCTCTTAGTGAAAGAGGGAACGATCCTGCAGCCCTAGTGGTCTTTCCTTCTTTCATTTTCAGCTCTCCTTATTTGTTCTTTTTCCATCTTTTCTTTCTTTGTGTCTTTCCTTTTTGGAGTTTGATCAAACTGAGATAATGTTTGAGTTTGGGGCTCAAACTGAGACCTTTGTTCCTCATTCTCATGACGTCACTCTCACTAGTTTCTCATGGCGAGAAAACTGCCTACGTTGTGACCTGTGAGGCTGGAAAAAAGGGTCCTTATAGTTGAGAGGCGTACTGTCTCCAACACATTGCTTTTGTCTCTGTTTCAGATTGAAACGGCTGACACTTAGTCGTTCCCGCTAGTGTCAATCGGGTAGTCACGTGTCCTTCGAGTCAGTGGCTTGGGGATAAGCTTTCGTGATTTCCTGCTTTCGAAAAAGTTGACTTTGGTGCTTCAGCTTGTGTATAGGCTCGTCTAACCCTGGAGCAGGAAACTGCATGTCATTTTTGTACTTCATGGTGGGTGAGGTCGTCAGGCCGAATCTTATTTCTTCTTCAATATGGCTTCTCAAAGTAAAACAGATGTAGAATATGAAAATTTTTCGCAATAAAAAAAATCAAGACAAATGTAAATGTCAATCAGGAAACATTTCCACCCCGATTTCTAGTCCTGAGTAACATTACATTGCCTGAATAACACCACAAGCGATCTGCAAAAAAAAAAAAAAAAAAAAAAAAAAAATGCAAAATTTCGGGCACATAAAAATACAAAATCTGTCGTTGGAGAATCAATGAAACGCCTGCGTTCCGGTGATCTACTAGTAAAATATGTCTGTGCTGTTCAGTCCGCACGCTCCTTGGATTAAAGAAATTAGATCAAGTTGATATTAATGTTTCAAAACATAAATCATTAAATTACTATAGTGGTGTTATTTACGAGATCGATCTCCAATTCTTGTCCGAAGAGGAAATTGTCTCAGAGCTGTCCTATCAGAATGTCTGAGGGAAAAGGCGGATGAAGACGTGCAGAGAAGGTCAGTTGATAAATACG